TCATTCCTAGAAATAATGCATAAATAAAGTCACACAGAGATATCACTACAAACAGACACATTATGTCCCAATTTCTTAGTAAACAGCAGATGAACAAACCAACTGGACCATTAGAGGTTAGGAGGAACATGTTTGGCCATCTGTGTCTCTCATGGACTGTGAATACCAAGCTGAGAAATGTGTGAGCAAGCATACATTTGAGATATGTATGAAAAAGGATGGCTATTCTAAAAGGGGTGGATGATGGCCATCCAATTCATCACTATATTTAGGTAGGTTTATAGGTCTAAGACTTTTTTATATATGAGGCAGCAGGAGTGCCTACGCTGCTGTTTTGACATCACACAACTACTGCAGATCAGGTAGCAATGAGGCCTGCTTGTATAACGATATGGTGCCTTTTTGTTCCCCTGAGACTGCCAACCTTAGAGCCTTGGGGTTGGACCCAATGGCACTCTGTGCCCTTCCACCTGTATTAGTCTATGATTTTATAGAGTGCTTCTTCTCTGAGGTCTTTTTTGGTAGAAAAGTTGGAACAACATTGCACAGGAAGTTCTTACAACAGTATCTTACTGCTAAAACAAGGCCAGTGTTTTGTGAGCTAGTGTGAGATTTCCTATTGCACTGTATAACTCTTGGAACAAAGATGATATGCATCCTGTCGAAGCATTCCATTTATGTTGAACTCTTTTCATGTAACAAGGGGGAGGTAGTAATTTTGCACAGCATAATGAAGATGAAAAAAGCCAGGAGTTTGAAAACATAACAGTCGTAAACGCCTGTGCCATGATCTGTTCCATACTGGCGCTCTCTTCTGTGTTCTCTTCCTTTTCTCACTTTGCATACTTTGTGTATACATGCGTTTGTATATACATGAGCGGATAGGTCTACCTCATGTCAGTGCAAGTTCCAGAATAAGGAGGTAGTGGAAATGTTTGGATCCAAAATATGGTGACTTAGGCTTTATTCTTGCTATTCTGTTAAGCCAGAGACTACATAAGTCCAGGCCTCTGCCCCCCTTGCCCAACTGACCATCATCTGGCAGTCGCCTGGCTTTTCCACAGGTTTTTCCATTCTAAAAAGCTGAAATGCCTCTCCAAAGGCTTGTTACCAGCAGTAAGGCCACTGCAGTACGCTGGTATTTTTTTCCCAGCCTGCTTTGGCTTCACACACTCAAGACTGGCATCTCAAAGAGACTCAGATTTTCCAGTTAAGCCAGGCTGAAATAAACTTCTTTCAATCTTCTGTGCAGCTGATGAAGAGAGAACACAGGCAGGCAGTTCAACTGGCAGTCCTCCGCATCACCCAAGAATGAGAACAGGAAATCTGAACACAGAGGAAGGAAGATCAGCTTTGAATGACCATTTTTCTTAAAATCTGGTATCAGAGGAACCCATCGAACCAAAAAGGCCCCACCCAAAGAACAAGGGACTATCATATTTTGTTGGTATAGTAGCAAGTAGACAGGGACCAAAGCAGCAGAAGTGCTACCTCTTGGACCATTCAGGAGATGTTTAGCACCTGAGATAACAAATGGAGCTTCTTCCTTCTTACATTTTAAGTATCACTGATACGATCTGTTTTTTTTTTCCTTCAACATTTTTGTTTTGTTTTGATATTTTGGTGCTTGGTGATGTCTCTAAGGAGAACTTTGTTTAGGGAACAAATAGCTATTTTGAGATCTGGTCATACGCCTAAGAACTCTCAGAGTTTTGGTCTAGTGTATCTGAGGAGCACAAGGCTGGAGTAGGATAAATTAGTAGACCTTATTGTAGCAAATACATTGCTGAAGAGTAGTATTAGCTTAAAAATTTATGTCGGGTTCTTTTTTACCATGAAAGGGACCATGAAGCCAAATTCTAATTGTGCTATTACCTTGGCACTGGAGAGTCTGACTCACTTCAGTGCATCAGTTCAATTCTGGGAATGAAGGCAAGCATTAAGCACATTAACCAGTTCTTATGAAGAACATATCTGATTTTTGTTTTGTTTTTATCTGATTGTACAGTGTATTTTCTCAGGCTTCCATTGAAACATTAGGAGAGCTTAGCCATAGCAAATGAATAGAGTTTAAAAGGTCAGTTCACTTTCTGAAAGGACAAAATGCTGAAAATTATTATTCATTGGAGAGATCATTACTAAGGCCCCTTCAGTTTATGAGCAAGTACAGTCATGGTATTAATACGAAATGTATTTATCACAGTTGGAGTGCATACTAATGAATGTAGTGTAATTGAAAACATTAGCTTGTGATACATAAAAATGCAACTACAACAGAAATTGGAGAAATTGGAAAGGGGTTGTAGCAGGGAAATGGCCCTTTATGCTTCCTTTTTATTTGCATTTATTTTAAAGTTCAGTTAGCTATGCAAAGGTGCCAAGGGGTGAAAGGACAGAGGTATATAATAAAAGGAAGGAAACTACAGCTTCGTCTCCCCCTTACAAAAAAGCATGAAGAAGAAGGGGGTGATGCCATTTGCTCTGTCCTCCCAGCCCCCTATGGGGTGCAGCCAGGGGGACCAGCACTCCAGAAGAATCTCCAAGTTGCTGTTCGTTTCTGAAAGCCATGATAGGTCACTCCCTCCAACCCACTAGCCTCCTGAAGTGCCACCAGTTTAGCACATACTGATATTTATACTGGGGGAAATGGTGAGATATAAAGAAGCCTGTGATGTAGCTCATGTGAAGAAATCTGGGCTGTAATGGCAGAAATAGTGTGAGGAAGACGGGTTGCAGGAGCAATATGTGACATGCCACTGAATAGGGCATTACAGTGCCAGGAAAAATGACAAGTGTCGGTTGCCCTGGCTTTCTTACTTCCAGCTCATTTGGACTCCATTGGGATACCCTGCAAAAAGCAGGGAACATTTTTTATTAGTAAACAGATTGGCTTATTTGTATGCAAGGGTGTAGACACTGATTCTGTATGGCACTTCGATCATTTATGAATGTTAATAAATGGGGTATCTAAATGCTTAGAGGAGAATTAGAGGAGGAACTTGTAGTTAAGAGTGTAATTCTGCTGGATCAGACTGTGTAGTACATCATCATCATCAGACAAAAGCCTTATGCAGTCTTGCATCCTGCTTTTCACAGTAAACAGCTAGATGTTCCTGGGAAACCTGCAAGCTAGATTTGAATGTGATAGTGCCCGTTTGCTCACGACCCCTCAACTATCCAAGGGTAAGTGGCTATGAAACTGGAGGTAATGCATAACCATCAGAACTAGTAGCCATTGATAGCCATATCCTCCACAAATCAGTCTAAGTCTTTTTTTAAAGCTATCCAAATTGATTGCACAGTTACATCTTGTGGTAGTGAAAACAATTCATTCCTTTTGCCTGTCCTGAATTTTTCACTACTCAGAGTCCCTGGGTGATTCTCGTTAGCTGCACCAGATAGACATTACCATATTGGCAGTTATTAGTTCCAGTAGTAACTTTTTGAAGTCAGGCATGGCAAGCTACAGAAAAGTTCACGTGACACTTGTGTAAAGTAACCTGAACTCAAGCAGAGCACGTACTGGGGACCCATAAATACATTATGATTCCTGATGTTAGTTTGACCTTTTTAAAAGCTCTGCTGGTCATATCTCCTCTTTTATTTCCAAAGGCTCTCATGTTACTAGGAAACTGTTGCTCCTGTGTGCTGTGGCCCATGCTCCAAACCTCCATATCTCTTGCTTCTCTTAGAACTGAACGGTAGCTATCCAGACATCAACTTTAAAGGGTATTATCTGTGGCTTAGTTTTTTTCACTGTTTCTCATAATGACTAATGTGTATATTTATATATAGTGACTAATGAGTATATTTATATGCCTTGCTTCAATTTCCCTCACTTCTTTCAGCTTGGTTGGCGCTATTTCCTGTTCTACAGGCACTTTTTTGTTTCTCTGTGTATTACTAAATCAGGTACAGCTTGCAACATACAGGTCTGTCTGTCTGCAACCTTTTGCCTTTCTGTACTGTTTTATATTCTTAGTCTAGAGATGGATAATAATAGGTTAAGTGTGTGAGAAGAAGGGAGGGAGGAAAGGGGTTTTGTAAATTTTTTAAACATCCCAAAAAGAAATGTGCATGCCCTGCAAACAGAGAAAATAAAAGGATGACTGGCCATACCAAGAACAATGATGCATGGATCGTGTTATCTTCTTTCTGGCAAACCAAACCAAAAATTGTCTAATGCCAATGTAGTGGGATAGCTGGAGTGCTGAACTGAAGACCCAGGAAGTCTTGGTTTCATTTCCTACTCAGCCATTACTCACTCTCAGCTTAACTTACTTCACAGAGTTGTTGCTGTGAAGCTAAAATGGAGTGGAGGGGGACTATGTCATCTACTTTGCATTCCTTGCAAGAAAAAAAAGCAGGATATAAATGCAATATAATAATACCATTAACTAGCAAGTGTCCTAATGAAATTGTAAATAAAGTATTTCTCATGTTGTTTTACCAAGTCTAAACTGTGGAGAGTGGAGCGCATGTGCACACGCATGTGCTAGCAGTCCTATTTTTCAACTGGACGCATAGCGAGAGAGCAATAGTTTGCATAAGCTGGGGCGCTGATAAGGTAACAAAAATGAGCGAACTTCCTGAGCTCAGCCAGTGTGAAGTTCATAGGGGAGGTATGTCTAGACGTGAACAAGTGTTAGAATGTAGTGCAGTGAGCGACACCTGTTACTGAGCACTGGAACAGACCACTTTAAATCCATTACAGAAAAAGGTGCAGGGTCCGAATCTTGATCAGGATTCTGGCACTGTTGGAGTAGGGGTGATTTAAAGGACCAACTGGGGCTCCCATCTGTGCCTTTTGAGAGTTAAAATGAAAAGTAGGGAAGATGTTACTGCAAGACACTGATTTAAAATAATGTCTGTTTTGGTCTTAGGTAAGTGCTGCTTCTGGGCTCTTCCTCTTCTTCTGTGGGCTGCCCTCCTTCCTGTTCTGCAAGTCTTCTCCAGAAAGATTTGATGCTCGAACTCACCAGAGGTGAGTAAGATGCAAACAGCCTGAAACAAGAAACAAATTTCTTTAGGGGTAGAAAAAAATCAGGGAGCATGGAGAGAGAGTCAGGGTGGGGAGACAGGAATCATAGCAGTGGGGAATATCAGGGCAAGGTATGGGGCAGAAATCAGAGGAAAATGCAAAGCGCAAACGCGTTGATTTCTTCAACTGATACTGATTATATTTCCATTTCCCAATAGGAAGGGTGATGTCAGGTTACATGGACCTACTCCAAAATTTACCCCTGGCATAGACTGATGCATAACTTACACCAGGGATTAATTTCTTTCAGCCTGAGGACTGAATTCCATTTCAGAGATGCTTCTGGGATCCTAAGGCTCCAATATGCTGGCTTAGTGCAGCAAACAACTGTCAGAGTCCAGTGCTCCAGAAACAACCAGTCCACAAAATGCTGTTAACTCATAGCAAGGACAGATAAGTCACAATCGGTGGACTGGCTGCATGTGATCCTCTGAAGTGATGCTTGTGGTCCGCTGCAAGTGCCTTGGCTTCTCAAACACCCCCCTCCATCACTCCCATATGCCTTGTTTCTGCTGAAGGGGAGCTGCTGATGGGTTTGTTTGTTTGTTTGTTTAAAACATTTCTATGCCGCTCCCATTGCAACAAAGCTTCGGGGCGGTTCACGGAATAATTAAAGCATATAAATAACAATTAATACAATTAGAGATTAAAAAGCCCAGTAGCATCTCGGCTTAAAAGTTTTAAAACCCTATAAATACCATAATAAGTTAACACTTAAAATAAGTTTTAAATAAAAAGGTCTTGGCCTGGCGCCAAAAAACAAATAGCGACGGCACCAGGTGGACCTCTCTGGGGAGCGCATTCCATAGGTGGGGCGCCACCGCAGAGAAAGCAAATGTCTCAACAGCAAAACAGCCTTAATAACTGGAATGGGTAACCAGTTGCATAAAATGGGCAACTTGTGAACCTGTCTCTCTCTCAGTCACTCTGTCTCTCTCTCTCTCTCAGAGACGGACAGAAATGGTGTTCAGATTATCATCATACCACCATGTGTCTGTCATTCTATCTAGAAAAGAGTCCGACGTTGTGGGATGCTTGTCATCTAGTCAGCCAGAGAATTACCTCTGTCCCTGCCTTTACTGGCATGGGCCCCAGGCAAAATTTTCCTGTAAAGGAAAAAAGGGTTTGCCTGTTGCTGCTTTACTGCCTGTTCTGTTGCTAACAAATGGACTGTAAGGGTAGTTCTTAGACGCAAAGTTTTCAAAAGGATCTCTCCCCTCCTCTTGCACTAACAGACCAACTGTTTTCTCTGTAACGTGCTGTCCAATAACCAAATGATTCTGGCTGAATATTGATCTGTCCTTTGTCAGAAAATGTATCTTGATGATGCTGTTACTGAAAAATTGAAGTCGTGTTTGCTGAGCAAGTAAGTAACTGTGCTACTTAGGGAAGTTGCTAAAATTTTGTGGTTTTGCAGAAAGCCTGTTTAGTTTAGTAGGGCTTGTATGTGAATAATTCCCAGTGGGTAATGCGAGAAGTAATTTGTGGACTTTTTTACTCTTTGCTGTAGCATTAGATGAGAAGTTTCTGTTAGCAGAGTCATGGAGATTCTGGTTCTGCAACTCATGCCAGGGCCACTACAAATATTCTTGTCTCATCTTGAATTGCTGGGCATTTGGCTGTTTTTTCTTGAGGGATTCCGCTTGCCTCTGTTCTCTTGCACAGCTGCCTTTCAGCTGCGACATTTTGTCATCTCTCTGTTGGCACCTGTTTCCCCCCCTCCCCTGCTGCCACTTCTCAATTTTATGCCTAGATCATGGAACATTTTCTAAGAGAAAAACAGACAAATTGCTGTTAGGTTGAAGAGTCACAGAACACAGTGGTGATTTAGATTCAGACCTGCAAGTGAAAAATACCTCCCTTTTTGCCATGTTTGCTTAGATTTATTTTATTAAAAGGTATAAGAAATGTGTACTTAAACTGAATTCCACAGCTGTTTGTTTTCATCCAATGTTGAGCAGTCCTGCAAGCAACTATTCTTTAGACTCAATTCTGTAGAATGAGGTGATGTTAGCTATTGTGAAACTTAGGGATATCGTGTGATGGCTAACAATGAGGTACATTTAGAAGGTGGTAGATTTTTCATTATACGTATCTGGGGCAGTTGTGCTGCACTCATGAGCTCATGTACTTGGAAATGAGTTGGCATCCCATCCATATGTGTGAGACTGGAAGGAACTCAGGTTTGTCTGTAATGGTGGCAGCCACTTCATGCTCTGTGATGTTAAGTTACATATCCAACTGAAAATCCTATGGGTCCTGTTCTCAGATCCTGGGATCCTCCTTGCTTCAGCTCGTGGATACAATCATGTGTTTTCATGCTGAATGCTAAATCAAGCATTTTATCACAGGCTTCCTATCCTTCTATAGTAGAACATAGCCATGCTAAAGTATCAGTTGCTAACATGATCACTTGCTTTATTTTTCATTTCACAGGTATGGTCTTCAGCCTTTGCTAGCATTCTCATTGCTTTGAATGGCGGGTGCTTAGCAGAGAACAAGAACTGAGCGAGAACATACCGAGCAACCCTGGAAACTTTAAGTACTGAGCACTGCTTATTCTATCATCATTATTAATCTACAGCAGGTAAGAAATCTGTTGACAGATTAAAGAATAAATTACAAGGACAAAGTTGTTGAAACAAAATTTCTTTTTTTTTAAATATTGTTCCTTGAAAGCACGCTTTTAGCACCCTAAGTTTGTACAACATAATCTTAAAATTTCATCATTTAATTATTTAATACATTTGTTCTGTTAAACATAGGACTAGCCCCACTTTATTTTTCAGGTTGCTTTTGAGCAACCTTTTCATTAATCTTACAAATCTTTCCTTAATCTTTTGTGGTTTATCAGTAATTTGTTCATAGAATTTCTACAAATGCATCTATTCTGCTGGTTTTTATCTTTTATAGGAAGGGCACTGGAAACACACAAAAATGTGCATGCCACTCATTGTTGCCACAGGCTACAAGTGTATTAGAATGCATTTTATCAGGGTTGTCTCTTAATTCAAAAAATTTCACTGCCTTAAAATGCGACTGCTATAATTTTGTCTGGAGCAAGATCAGATCAGATTATATCAGTTCTGAATTAACTTCTTGGTCTTAAGTTAGTTGCTTAGTTTAATGCAAATGTGGAAAAGCACATCTGAGCACTGCATGCTTGCCCATCCTTGTATATTTTTAAGCTAAAACTGCAAGGTCTGCCAGCTAGAGCAGCATGCAGCCAGATGAGAAATAGGTTCAGAGGGCAGAACTAACCACCTGCAGCATCCCCTATGTTCTACACTGGGATAATTTGCCCAAGCAATTACAAAAAACCCCTCTGATTTGGTCCATATCAGGTATTCTAACAGGTTGGACGGTGCGGGATTAACCCATTTTAACTTTGGTGTTGCTATCAATTGGAAGTTGGAAATCTGCTTTGCTAATCTAATATAAATCATCAAGTGAACTCCCTAGTAGCTTCTGATCTACCTTTTCTTCCCTCCTGGTTTACATTATATCTGGATTTAATACTTTTTTATGCTGTGATTTCTGGTGCGTCATTAAAACAAGTATCAGCAATGTCAGTTAAAAATACTTGAATTATAGTTAATAGTAAAACTTCCATAGTTAAACTGTAAAATTCACTTCCATGAGATATAATGATAGCCAACAGATTGGATAACTTTAAAAGGGATTGGACAGAGTCATGGTGGATAAGCTATGCTGGCTATATGCCACATGGCCAACATAGAGACAGAATGCGTATGTACAGCAGTTGCTGAAAAGCATGTGTGCAGAAGTGCAGTTGCACTCATAAACATGGGTTTACAGAGTATCCCCAAAATAATAGTGTGGAGGGGGAATTTGGTGATTGTCAGGTCATCTACTGGTGACAGGAAGGCTCTGCTACCAAGGAAAAGCCATTTTGCAGAATACATTTCTTGAGTGAAATATATAAGGTGCTTGAAAAATGCATTAATATGGAAAAGCAGATTATAGGAATGACACATTTCCAAAGTACTTTGCGTCCATGCTCAACCACCATGCCAAACATGCTGTTTGTTCCAGGATGTGTCTTGAACAGAGTGGTGCACATTTATCAAAGTATATAAACAACTTGTGAATGGAGCTGGAGATGGTTATATTATCTCTTTACAGAATTAACCATTTTGCCTGTTTTAGTCTAATCTTTCCATTTTGTCCTCTTCCCTTCAACCATGAAATTAAACATTAGGTTTATGTAACCTGTGAGTGCCTTGCCTGTCATGTTGCTGGGCAAAGAATGTACGATGTCAATTTGTGTGGGTTATTATTCTAAAGTAAGCATGTAGCGCCCCAGTCTGGGCCGTGGCCTCCACAGGTGGGTAGGGCAGGCCATGGGAGGCTTGGTGTAAACCCTCCTTCCTTCCATCCACTCTAGTTTCTGACATGGCCATTGTCCCATTGCCGGTGGACTAAAAAAAGAAAAGTCCTCAATTGATATTTTCCCCCTTTATAAGCCAAATTAAAGTGCACATGAGCTACTTTATGTGCAAAGAATGAAGTATATTGTTCACAGCTAGTACATTGTTCACAGCCATTTAAGCAAAAGACATTGTGGACACAAGCCAGACACTGAAAACATCAAATAATCATCTGTGCAAACAATGTGTTGGATGTTTGCTTTGCAGACACCAAGTTAAAAGTCTGATGTCTACCGATATCAGCTATGCTTGGAAATAGTGAAGGGTTGAATCACAGTGATTTTTCTGGATGCCCATTTCAGCTGTCCTTAAATTCAGGAAAATTTCCTCCATTGGTGAGCAAAGGAACTCTCCCTATTGCATTCCACTAAATATCTTATAATATCTTTTCTTGAAATATAGTTAGATGCAAATAAAATATGGATTTGGCAGCCCATATTTTTGTATGCATTCTCTCTTTGGTACCTTCTCTGTAAACATGATCTCTTCCAATGTAGTCTTGCACTAGAAATCCTACAGGTCTTCTGGTGACTTCTTTAGGGGTTCTACAGACATTAACTTGATATGCCTGTTAAGTTAATGCATCAGTTACCACAAGGATTATAAAGTTATAATAAAATTATACAAGGAATTTTGCCACAGAATTTCCCCTGTACTATCTCAGGTCTGAGCGAGAGGCTTGCCTTCCTACAGTCTTGTGTTTGCAGTTTCTCCTAATAGAATCTCTACAAGTCACACAGACTCTTTGAAAGAGGTGTATTTATTACCCCCTGGAGGCACAGGTCCTTGTAACACTGACAACAAACCTTGATGTGATCAGCAAGTTCAGCATTACACCTTGCAGCCTAGACATTATGAAAACCAATGGCTGGGGAAGATGGGAGTTGTAAGCCAACAACTTTTGAGATTCAGGGTTGAGAACCATTGTTCCTGTCCCTGAAAGCATGTGCAACAGTAGTATTATTCGGCTTTGGGTACCCAGTACTCTTTTGGGCAAATAATGTTCTTTTAGTATCAAGGGAGCAGATGGAATTGCTACATGTGCAGAGACCACACAGCTGGTTCTTTCTTAGTATGCTCTGTTTGCCCAAGGTGTGTTCCACCCAGAATATCTTCTGATGAATCCAAAAGGTTTTGGAAACTAGCCCCCGAAGGAAGATTGCCATTCACTGCCAACTAAGCTGTTCCGAGCACTGTCTGTCCCACTTGCAAATCTGTTCAGATTTCCTGAACCTCAGTGAGGTTTCTGTGCAGTCACTTTCAGACTCTTTGGCATTTCATGAAATCACCTTTTCCACAGTTTTCTACAAAGATGCTCCACTTTTTAAATGACAGTTATGATCCAAGGCAAGCACAGGAAGCAGCTTGCCCAGGCAACATAAGTTCTGTTTTGGTTGGTGATGTCAGCTGTCTCAAATAGTAGAAACAAGCAAGAATAGTAAGATGGGAAAGGCTGAACAGAGCAAGGATTTCATGGCATAGCTTAGCTTGTTATTAAAGAACATTATGTTTTAAGATACAGGGACGGGGATGTGAAGACCTGTCCCATAGCTTTATTTATGATAAACCTTTACCTATTAAGGTGTGTGTAGCTCTGGATGGCTTCACAACACGGTCATAACCTGCAGGCCACCTGCCTTTTCTTTTAAAGTATATTGTGGTTGAAGGTGAGGGGGGGAAGTTTCACCTGACTGGCCACTTCAGAAACAGTGTGGAATAGATAATTGATGAATGGCGTGACGTAAGCCATTCCTCTTATATTTCAATGCATTTGCCATGCAGCTCTTAGTTCTATTTTAGTCCTTATTGTGGTTGTCTCATGGGGAAACATGCCTATCTGTTTAATGTAATTTTTATTAGAAATCTACATTGTGCAAATTTAATTGATGGATTAATCAACTGGCATTCCTTAAAAAATAATAACTAATTGCCATATAAGCGTTTTTGTTTTGTTTTGTTTTGTTTTTTGCTATATTGTATTGTTGTTTTTAATGTGTTATGGTTTTTATTGTGTTTTTATCTACGTTGTATGCTGTCCCTAGATGCCGAGGCATGTGGTGACAGCATATAAAAGTTATAAATAAATAAATAAATAAATAAATAAATATCTTGTGGTCATGAGCCGCCCAGAGGTGCTATGGCATGATTGGGCAGCATACAGATGATTTAAATAAATAAATAAATAAAGGTGGGGTTCAAGTGCTGCTTTAAGTACTGGATCACCCTGACTGTGAAGAACAGGATTATTGCAAAGCAATGCAGAACTTCCCCGTGTCAGTGCCCAGCACCTCCAGTCCAAAAGACCAAGCCTCAAGTGATGTGAAAGACCCCTGTCGGAGACCTAGGGAGCCACTGGCATTTGTACTAGAGAGTCCTGGGCTAGATGAACTGAGAGCCTGATGATACAAGGAGGTTTCCAAATATGTGATACTAAAGTTACCATGTATGTGGGCTTGGTTTACCTCTGTACATCAGACCTTGGCTATTAAGTGAATTGCCTTTGCAAAGGTATTCCCTCCACCTCCTGGGAAGCAGGCTGTTATTGTTTTCCTCTTCCCTTCCTATCCCCTTTTCCTCAAGGCTTATGACTTTTTAAATTGTAACTCTGGTGGGGAAAAAGCTTTTTTAACAATGTATGAACTGCTTTGGAAGGCTTTTTAGCTGAGAAGCTGAATACAAATACCTGTAGATAAATATATACATAAATGTTTCCATACTTAATTCGACAATGGCCTCTTCTTAGAATCCTAGAATGATATAATAGTAGAGTTGGAAGGGACCATCAGGTCCCACACCCTGCTCAGGACTCCCAAGTTCAACCATCCCTCTCAGATGGCTGACCAGTTGTATCTTGAATGCAAGACTCAGCTGATGCAAGAATGTTGTGATAGCTGGACTGTCCATTATGGCTACAATACCAATACTGGGCTAACAGGTCTAGTTTGTACTGATGTTATTTTAGTTCTTACACTGCTTTTATAGGCTGTGCATTGCATTTTATGCAGTATTTTATTGTATTTATTGTTTGTTTTTCTGAACAATCCAGAGAGCTTTGGGTGTTGTATGGAAATCAAATATATAATCATTATTATCACACCATTTGTAGCATGTGTTACAGCTCTAATAATTATAAGTCCCACATTACTGTGGTATTCACAAATTTCACCCTGGGGAACTGGCCTCATATACCATACTGAAGGAATCAAAAGAGGATGTATAGCTCACTCTGTGTTAAATAATAATTCAATTAATAGTTCAGTATTAATTGACCAGTCAGTTGATCATTGGATTGAACAAGTCCAGCTCTCAGTAAAGCCTTTGTTAATTGCACCCCTAAGATATCAATAACCATAACAGAGCAACTTTGAAGAAAAGCCCACTAATTGGAGGCCATGTCTAACGGACTTATTTTGCAACTGATTTTGATTATTCCAAATAATTATATAATGTAGATTCTCTTCCCCTTCCCAACTCCACCTTTTTTAAAAAAAGTATTTTTCATGGGACTTTTTTTCTGGTCCAGTTTGCAGGTTGAAATTAATCTTCCCGATCCTGATGCATTATACATTATGGTTCATATCCACTTGCTTAGAAAATGCGTATACATCCTCTTGGCATTTATTTTGGTTCTGACTATTTGTTTGTGGAAGGAAACACGGAAAGGATTTTACATTTCTCTAAAAACAGAAAGTGAAACTGATCACCTACAGATGAAGCTGTGGAGATGGGCCATTCTAAAAGACAGAACTGTCCAGAATGAAATCGCCAGTGGCACAGACAAGGTCCTTTTGTCTGCCAAAGCATCCCAAGGAAAAGTTAATCTTTTTACAACTCTGTCAGGGAATAACTTATTGGTGAAACCGAAGAAATTACCAAACTCTATCAAAGTGTGGAACAAGGACAGTTCATCCAAAAGCCTGCACCCCAGATTGCAAAAGGCAAAAGAAAATTATGTGCAGATGAACAAATATCATGTGAAGTACACTGGACTGAAGTATGCTACTAAACCCAGCCCCAAGAAAGTGTTGTGCCAGCTCCGAAAACAACTGAACTTTGGCATGATAATGGCAGAAGATGGCCCCTTCAATACATCTGAATGGAGGATGTACTTGCCAAGGAGGAACATCAGCATGGAACTGGGTCAACTAGGCCAGTGTGCAGTCGTGACCTCGGCGGGATCCATGAAGTCATCCCATTTGGGGGCTGAAATAGGTTTGCATTCTTCTCTATTACAATAGAAGCAACAGAATACCATTAAATTGGATCCAATGGTAGGATTCTCTTTCTTTTCTTCTTTCTATTCCTTTTGGTGTTTTGTCATGACAGTTGTTTCATAGGTAACAGGTATGTTAAAATGTCATACGAAACCATAGTTCTGAAGCTGCTTTGTTCTAACAAATCATAGTTATAATTAAACAAAGTCTAGGTTTCAGCCAGCATGCAAAACTAAAGTTAACTGAAAAACAAGTAGGAATTTCTAGTTTCTTCCTCACAGCTACATGAGAGAACGGGAGGAAGGAGCAGATGAGTACCAAGAAAGCTAGGCTTAATCCCTTCACAACAAACAATGGCTTATTTTGATATTGGTTAATGCTGTAGTACTATAATCATAGAATAGTAGAGTTGGAAGGGACCATGAGGCCATCAGGTCCATCCCCCTGCTGTTGCAGGACATCAGGTTACACCATCCCACTCAGATGGCTGCCCAGTTTCTTTTTGAATGTCTCTAGTGTGGGAAAGCCCACCACCTCTCTAGGCAGCTGGTTCCACTGTTGTATTGCTCTGACAGTGAGGAAACTTTTCCTGATGTCCAGCTTGAATCTGGATTGCTGCAACTTGAACTGATTTTTCCGTGTCATACACTCCGGCATCAGCAAGAAGAGATCTTGACCTTCCTCTTTGTGACAGCCTTTGAGGTACTTATAGAGGAATATCATGCCCCCCTCAGTCTTCTGTTCTCATGACTGAACATGCCCAGTTCTCTTAGTCTCTTTTCACAGGGCAGTGTTTCCAAACCCTAGATCATTTTTGTTGCTGTTCACATGGATACTAGATCTATATAAAGTTAACTGAAATGTGCCTGTATGGTTATACATTTGCTATGCAGTAATTCTTATGTGATAAGTGCAGCTGAAGTGCAGCTGGGTTCCAAACCTCACATGTGAAACATGAAAAATGTTGAGGGTTTTCTCTTCTCTCTTTCTCTGTCAGGTCCCTTTAATGATGCATGTTTCCTGTTTTTGACTTTTAGATGGTCATGACGGAGTGTTACGGTTTAATGGTGCTCCTACAAGTGGGTTTGAGGATGACGTAGGGAAGAAAACTACAATACGCCTTGTTAATTCTCAGGTAGGTTTGCCTGGCTGATGCTGTGCTAAGTAACAGTAGGTGATTTTGAGGGCTTTCCCAAGGCTTAGCTTCCACTCTTTTTTTATGTGGCCTCTTCTATCCTGCAAATCTGCTGTTATGAACAAACTTTTTAATTAGGTTTCTGTATTCTGAATATACAGTTCACTTTGGCTAGACAGTATCACCAAGAGACTCTGTGTTAAGTGCAGCTGTCCCATCAGACAACTTGATTGATTGGAACAGCAGGAATAGGTGAAGACCTCTGCATAAAATGGCAATGGAACAGCTGAAAAGTAATCCTTCCTTAGGCATCTCACATTCACAGTTGTAAAATTTTCCCTATGAAAAATATCATTTCCAGTATTTCCCTAGTAACTTGCATGGGTGGGTGGTGGTGGGGGGGGGAGAATAAGTCACATCTGCTAGAAAGGGTATGAGAGAGCTTTAAATTAAGCCTAAAGTGAAAATGATTTGATATGAAAATGTAGGCTGCCCGGTGGGTATACTGTAACAGCTATTCATCAGTGTGATCATGGAAGCAGTTAAGAGGGTATTAGCAGGGCAGTCAAAGCCCAAACAATTCAGTGGCCAATAAAACAAACAGTTCATTAGGTGCAGTGGAACAGGACAGTATGATTAGATCTTGTAGCAGTGACTGTTGAGGAAAAGCTGAGAAGCATGGCGTCCAGGCATCAGATTTTGCTCTAGTACTGGTGCCTAGTACTCAGCTAAAAATAGCCAGACGTATCTGGGGACAGGATATTAATGCAGCAGCTGTGTTAATGGATAAGCACATTTGCCAGTTCACAAAAAGTGCCCTTTGTCTGCAAGACACAAAAGCTTTGTCTTGTGAGCAGGAGAAGCCTACTGTCCTTAACCTTAAAAGGTGTCCTGCCTTGGTCTTCACTCCTCATTCTTCACAAGGCTGAATCTTGTGCTGAGGGCTATATTCTAAATGCCAATGTTTTTAGAATTGACTGCACCTTCAGAGACCTTGTTTCCCACTGAGTTCTCAGCTGAGGAGTCTGCTGCATAACCCTGCCTGGCTCTTGAGAATTCTGGAGGCATGTTCAAAATACTGGCCCTGCCTGTTGGCCATCACACCCAACCTAAATCACTTGTGAGCTAAACATCTGCAATTTGCCATTGCAGCTTCATGCTGATGTGGAGAATTGGAAGTGGGTGGAGGAATCTGCAGCTCACCATAATATATCATTCCCTTTAGATAGACAAGGTGGGAACAGAAGAGAACACCCCTCTGATTATTGCATTATGTAACTTGTTAAGACAAATGTGCAGCATTCCCTTCCTTCTGTAGATCACAGGAAAATAGCACAAATCGGAGCTTTCCTTCTGTTGCGCAACTAGGCATGTGCATGAAGGTAGCCTAATTCTGAGTAGGAGAACAGCATGGGCAAATTTTTAAAGCCATTCTTCTGCCATGGAATGATACTGAACTTGGTGGTGGGATGTCTGCTACTTCTTTTCCAAAAATGCAGAGCTATTGGACACTTGTGTATATCTGAGAGAGCATAGTGTCAAGCAGACTGGAAACCCTAAAAGGTGTAGGCTGCTCTACAGCAGTTCTGTGGTTGATCACATCAGGATCCAGAAGTGTCACAGAATCATAGTAGAGTTGGAAGGGGCCATGAAGGCCATTGAGTCCCACCCCTGCTATTGCAGGACACCATGTTATACCATTCCACTCAGATGTAATTTAATAGTTGGGCCATAATATCATCCCTGTGACCAGAATGCTTAAGGTGATCTTGAGATGGGAAAAGAAATCAGGGATGTATCCAAATGAGGATGCCTTGCAGTGTGACCTCAGTTGCTACATAAATGCCATCTTCCATACAGAAGTTAAATTTCTTGATGCACTAAACAGTTGTGCCTTAGATCACTAGCCATTGAACCAACCAGAGGAGAGGTGATTATGTACCTAATCCCAAGTGTTTTCAAACAAGTCCAAGATGCAAATGTTGCTGAATCCACAGAAAACAGGTATGACAGCTTTAATTTGATGTGTATTTAAGTAGAGTGTTTCCAAGGAAGTCCACCAGTCATGTTTGATGTCCAAAGAAGAAAATTGTCTAAGATGAAAGAGGTGGTTAAAAGAAAGTTGAAGCAGGAGAGTTTGAGTGTTGAATCTCTTCAAAATGCTTAGCGGTTACTCAAAGCCATAATAATTGAATCTCAGAATGTATTTCCCAGATCAGGAAAGGCAGATGAAGAAAGGCAGACACATAGTAAGAGATGCAAAAAAAGCACCTTGAGGAGCTCATACTAATGCCAAGGACAACAAGGAAGAATTAGGTAAATTAATTGGAAGTAGGAAATCAACTAGGGAAGCAGTTGGACATTGGATGGCAATGGAGTTTAGCAAATGCTAAAGGATGATAAGAAGATGGCAGAGAAGCTGGATGAAGTATATTCATCTGTCTTTATTGCAGAAGATGCAGAGCAGATCATGCTTCCCTTACAGAGTCTATGGTGTGAGTACACTTAGAATGCTGTATACAGTTCTAGTCACCACATTGAAAAAGGATTTTATAGAGTTTTGAAAAGGGCAGAAAAGAATAAATATGGGCTGGAGCAATTTCCTTTCCTTCCTTACAAGTTCTGGCACTTGGTTTTTTTTTTTTTTTTTACTTGGTGGGGAAAGACAAAAGGAAGTGCATGGTAGTATGCATAATAGGGAGAAAGGTAATCTCGTCCTGCAATGCTAGAACCTAATACCTCTTCACATACCACAATCTAGTCAAATTAGGGAACTTGGTTACCAGAAGATGTAGTGGTAACTGCCACGGTTTAAAAGCGGATGAGTCATTTTCTTGGTAGACAGAGCTATCAGTGGCTACTTGTTGGGATGATGATACGCTGTGTCCAGCATCAGAGGCAGTGTGCCTATGTACAACTATTGCTGGGAGCACAACTGAGGCAGTGCTATTGCATTCATGACCTTCTTCTGATTTCCTACAGGAGGGTGGTTGGGCACTGTGTGAAACAAATGCTGGATTAGATGGAATCTTGGCTCTTGTTTTATGACATGGATAATGTTGCCTCTCACTTGGGTCTGAGATAAATTTAGCATTAATCTGTTCCAGCAGGACAGTTCCTGCCTTCTTTGTTGCTTCCTGCTTTAAAAATGAAAAGTTTTTTCAAGTGAATGGTGCACACTGTTATACTTCCATGATTAAGCTAATAAGCAAATTGTACAAAATAAATGAGATATGGATATAATACACACACAAAGAGAGAGAGATGGGGGGGAGAGAGAGAGAGAGAGATTTATAAATAAGCAAACCATCAGAGATAGCTTTAAAATTGTTGGGCTAAGTGATTTTACTTCCATAGTAACCAAGTTAAAACTTCAAAAGAAGACAGGGAGCCAAGATGACAGAAGCTTCTAAATAGTGTTCAAAAGTCTGTTGTTGCTTTAGTAACATATTGGGCACGGCACCCAGGGCTCTTGAAAGAATTAATGCAGCCTTCCCTAACCATGGTGTTCTCCAGGTGTGTTGGACTAGAGTTGTCATAATCCCCAATCAACATGGCCATTGGTGGTTAGGATTAGGTCCAACACATCTGGATGGCAGTGAAATTTATGTCATTATCACAATTGCAAGTGCTATTTTGTTTAATAAAACAAATCTTACCAGGTATTCTGCTTTTGAAGGCAACTGTTTCTTCTAAAGTAAATACAAGCGACACAACAACTGGCTTCACAGTGATATAAGTCAGCATATAAATTAAGATTTATACTACTTACAAAATTCAAGATTGCTGATTGGTCGTTGCATTCTTATCTATAATTCATATAGACCTGGGGATTAGTAGAAGGCAGTAAAAGGAGATTGCTGGTGTCTTTCGTGAGTTGACTGCCAGTGCGTAGCTGTTTCCTGCATTGTCAAGTGAGAAATGCTGTATGGAAGTTCACCACAAAAGTGCTCCTGGTTAATGAGACTCCACCCAGTTGGTGCCCCCCAGATGTTGGTAGTTTTGTTCCCTTCAGTTCAGTCTTCAGCCTCAACAGTAGTTGAGAATGCTAGGAATTTCTGTCCAAAAGATCTGAAGGCACTGGGTTGGGAAAAACATTGTTGGGGGATGGTGGCAGCTGTGGTCAGTGACATGCTGAAACCATTATCTGTGTGGAAGATCTTATTGGATTGGTCAGTGGTGAGGTATACATCTAGAAGCAGGAGGCTTCGGCAAATGGGGCGGCATAGAAGTTTCATGAATAAATAAATAAATAAATAAAATGTGCAGTTTCAGTTGTGGTATTGTATGTCAGGTTGATAATTGGCTAACAGAGTTTTTACTAACGTTGGGCTCATGGTGTGCTTTGAAATACTCATATACTTTTTAAAAGACTGTTAATTATTCTGCCTCATGTTGTCCAACTTAATTCCAAAATAACTCCAGAAAATGTGTGACTAGGTCATGGTACCTAATCTATCATTTATGATTGGGGCTGTCTATTTTTGGGGCAACTTTTTTCACCCTATGCTACCAATTACATGGATTAGTTCTCACAGAAAGCATCACTCATGTTTTCAATAGAAACGTCACCTAAAAATGTGTAATTCCCCCTGAGCCAGTGGCTACAGTAATCACGAAACCTGATCTCCCTGATTTTTAAGTGGGACAGAATGCATTAATCACCACTTCTTTTGTATTCCCAGCTTATTACTATTGAAGAACAGAAGTTTATTACAGATGCACAGTATAACAATGGAATCTTAATTGTGTGGGATCCATCACCATACCATGCAGATATCTATAAGGTATGTTTGAAGTGCATCAGATATTGGGGGAAGATAACATTGTTCCAGGATATGCTTACTTCTGTTGAGAAACCCTCAAGTCCTTCCTCCCAATAACAGTTTCTCATCTGCCTTCAGGCGCCCTGGCATTGCCCTTCAGAAAGCTTAGATCAGAGGTGCACCAACACATGTGCTATATATGGCCCCCATGCCGACCAATGTGGCCGTCATTGTTCCCCATCCCACTACATAGTCAAGGAAATACTAGCTTGTTGAAGCTACAGACTGCTAAAATGGTTAAATATAGCTTTGCAAGCAAGCTAAATTTAACACTTTCAGATCTACTGAACAATAGGAAGTGGTGTGCCTGCTAATTTTGGCAGCAAACCAGCAGTTTTCAAAATTGTATATGTACGTATGTCTTTCAGCACCTGTCAGGGGAGGGTGTCCAGGGGCATGAAAAAGGTCCCAAACCTCCCGTAGTTTCTACAGGTGACAGAAATACGTTAGTACGTAGGAGTGGAGTGGAATTAAGCAGGTAATCAAAAGACAGAACCAAAGGCAGAGTGACAGCTCGCTGCTTAGAAAAAATAGTCAAGGCCGATTATTGTTCAAGCAAAGGCCTAGGCTGATTCACATGTGAGGGTTTGGGGACAGATTTGCGTTGTGGTTTGTTTGTGTGGTTTTGCAAAGTTGAAGGAAAAAATCAGTGGGCTGTGTGGTTGTGTGAAGTCATTCTAGAAGTGGGAGGGCATCATGGCCTTGGAAACCATGGAGTGAAATGTGCCACTAATAGAGCTTTGTGTCCCAAAGAAACCTCAAGTATTTCTCCCCACTCCTTTTAAAGTGCATCTTCCCTGAAGGAGCGGGTGGATGACCCTGTTATGAATGCACGTGCCACAGAGCTCGTGTATATTGCATAGTGCAAAGGGAGAGATGTTTCAAAGGGAATCCCTTCCCTCCCTTTACAGGAAATGTGCTCTATTCTTCATTTCATTACACAAACATATGCAAACACACACACAGACTATTGACTAGTGCTTGATGCAACCATAAAACTACATTTGTTTGGAAACAAATGTATAAGGAGCACCCCTCCCTGTGTATTTTTTCAGGGAGAACAGGGGTGTCCTTTCTTGACTCTTTTGAGACTAAGAAGCCTAGAAGTCAGAGAGAAAGTGGATTAAGTGATAAAACCAGGTCTTCCCTGCCCACTTCTCTTCATGGTGCTCTCTGGCTGTTTTGGCCCACTCTTGCAATTCATGCAGGAAGACAGTGTTCTACTCCCCCTTAGGCAGCAGCCAGAGAGAAAGTCCTGGTGGAGTTTAACCCAGTGGAATTCCATGGAGTAGTTTGCGAGCACTCTTTGAACAGGCCACAATGGGTACCAGCATCTTAGAGTTCAGCTACAGCCATTCCTGCTAGTCTTGCATGCTACTGTTACAGAAGGCCCAGAGCCAAGAAAGTGACAACACACGAATTTCCTCTGATAAGCTTCTTCCCTGCGATTCCTTGGTTAGACTCTAGAGTTGTAAGAGGCAAATGCAGATATGCACTCTTTCCAGTATTTTTTTTCTCCTTCATGCTTTTTATATATGAACAGTTTGGGAATAAATATTTGGAGACAAAGTGTCCCTCCACATTCCTGAATCACTAATGAACCTTCGTGAGAATGCAGATTCATTTCAGAGTGATTTGGAACACCCTTGGAATCCTGAATCTGGCCTGATTTCCTTGATTTTTCTCAGGATTTAGAATTTGTATGACTCTGTTGCACAACTCCTAGATTAGACAAGGGACCAACAATTTTCAGGCTCCTCTAAATTTGCTGGAAAATAATTCTAAGGTCATTTCATTTTCAAGTTCTGTAGCTTGTTTAAATGGAAAACGTGTGCATTTAGAATTGGAATTATGTGTGTTTATGTACACACTCCCCCATTGACTAAAGCACAAAAAATCATGTTTTGAAAAAAGCACATGTAGATATTTTTTTTTTAGAAAAAGGCTTTCTAATACAATCACAAATTGAGAATTTGTAAACAATTCCTGAAAAAAATGCTCCTGTTTGCATTCAGAATTTTGAGCAGACATATGAGCATGATTTGTAGATGAAAATTCTGTAAGGCTTAATGGGCTTAAGTTACAGGAAGACCAATATCAGTTTGACATCAGGAAACACCTTCTAGGGGTTAGAGAAATCAGTCAATGGAACTAACTCTCTAGAAAGTGTCATTAGAAAGTGAAAAATCTTGCTAGTGGCATTTAAGCACTCACTGAACACCCATCTATCAAGAGCTGTTCTACACTAGATTCCTCTACTGTACAAAGAGTTGGGTTTAATGGCTTTAATAGCCCCCACCAATTCTCTGATTATATGATCTTTGAGGTTTCCTGATGTATTTGTAGATTTGTCATTTTTCTTCTTTGTTTGCAGTGGTACTACAAGCCAGACTACTATTTCTTTGAAAGCTACAAGCGCTATCGGAGAAAACATCCTGAACAACCTTTTTATATCCTAAATCCCAACATGCAGTGGCAGCTCTGGGATATCCTTCAAGAGAACTCACCAGAGGATATTCAGCCAAATCCACCCTCTTCAGGAATGCTTGGTAAAACAACACACATGCACACACACAAATCTGAACAAGTTCTTGTTTTTTACCCTTTTGGACAAATGCTCTCTCTGGTTATTTATTTATTTATGCACAAGTACCATAAAGAGTTAATTATGGGTAACTATAGGAAACAGTTTTATATACAGTTTTCATACATAAGAGAACAGCAGTGATTGAGTGACTGTTTGTAGGAAAATGAAAAGGGAACATTTAAAAATCTGGGTGTACTTTCCACATGCTCAGGTACCTCTCTAGGTATGCTGAAGTACAGAAAGCTGCATATTAAAGGGGAAATAAATCAACCTCAGTATTTACCTTTAAAAAAACCTGCGAACTAACAGAACCCTGTTGGCAGCCGAGATAAGAGAGGTGAATTTCAAGAGTTTAAATTAAGGAATGAGAAATTGGCTGGGTTCACACAACATGGCAAACAACCCTGTGCTGGATTTTTGCACTAGATTTCCACAGCACATGGATTTTTGCCTGGACTGACTAGTGAAAGAATCACGTGGTTCATCAGGCAGTATTGTTTCCTTGCTCCCACTCCATCCGCCCAGCCTTGCTGTGCATCCCAGCAGCCTCATGAGAAAAATCCTCATCCAGGAGAAGGTCTGTTTGGTCTGCTGTGTCCCTGAGACAGCATTCCTGTCTCCCCTGTCCAAGTGTACCTGCATGTCTGTGGTGCTTCTCAGCCACACCGGCCCCCATGGAGATTCTTTATTAAAAGAAACAGTTTTGCAGTGATTCCCCTTCTCCATCCATGTTTAGCCATATTGCCTCACTGCTCCCAAAAGTAAACAGGGAGAAAGACTCTTTGCTCAGGCAATGACACATCTGTTGCTGGGTAGCTAAGGCAGTAGAGGCTAGAGGTGGCCACTTCAGCAGCCAGTCTTGCCAAGGAACTCTCTGATGTTTCCATACTGACAATGGTAAAATGGCAATCTCAGATCCAGACAACTGGGGAGCCATGGTGAAGCATGGAATCTTTAGTACGGACCACATACTAAGTAAGCTTAGCACAGTGGTCTCAGAAAACTAATCCTCTGCAGCAACTCTAGAACTGGGACTGTAGGACCAACAGACCCAGAACAGTAAGATTTCAGCATGGTTTTTCATGTCATACAAACCCACACATTGGGTAAATGATCTGAATCCATGGTTGAGAGACATTGAGATGTGGAATGTTTGTATGTCAATTGAAATCAAGACTAATGTATATGCACACACACACACGGGTTGCATTGTGGTAGAGAAAGTTTTGTGTCATGTTTTACCCTGAAGTATGATTTTAGTTGTGATTTTTTCATTTTAAAATGTGCTGAACTGTCTTGAAAACCAGCCTGCATGACACACAAGAAAGAGGTTGGTCTTTTCCAGGTGAAACATTCTCCCTCTGATACAAATAGATAGAAAGCACCAATATTCATGGAGAAATAACTACTTTTAATAAAATGATAATTCCATTACAGTCCCACTCACCTGGGTATCACATTATGTTCTCACCACAAGATGGCACTTCTGTGCAACATGAGGACTTTATAGCAAGGGGGCTTGTGTTTATATAGCTGGATTCTACTCCATGACTTATTTAAAATATGTATTTATGGGCAAAAGGTTGGATTGATGAAGTACAAATAGTACCTTGACTTGCTGCAACATGGGATCCTATTTACTTAGTTATTATTACTTATTTGTTATTTATCCATACCCTACCTTCCCCCAGCAAAGAATCACAGGCAGCTGACGCAAGCATCTCATCTCACAACAGCACTGTGAAGTAAATTACACTGTGAAGTAAATGGCTAAAAGACCATGCATGGACCAAGGCCACCCAGTGACCTTCATGACTAGAACCCAGGCCTCCCAAGTCCCAGCCAGAAATCTAACCACTGGGACACACTGCTTCCCAGCAAGGTGGCAAGGAAGCCCTCACCTTACCCAGCTCATTTCATAATGACATGAATTTGTCACCAGGACTGTTCAAATGGTGCTTGATATCACCCTCAAAAGTTTAAAAGTTATGTTGTGTTTGGCTTATTTATTAATGCACTGCATTTCAGTACCACTCAAGAGCCAAAGATACCTGGGTTGTTACAACAATTAAAACCATAAAATTCAAAATAACGAAATGCAATATACGCCTATAGTATAAAATAGTACCAATGCAAAAGTTTAAAATACATTATCAGATTTAAAACCAAAACTGAAAAGCTAAAATACTTCACATGGATACTATCTCCTGTATTCATTTTTAAAAATCAAATTTGGTCTAAAAACAAACTAAATGGAATGTTCCCCATCCCTACCTAAGAGTAGCTATACCTGCTAGATAGACATTTTGTACTCCTAGAGGAAGAACCCTGTAGAGGGCAGTACAAGTTCAGCCAAGGGAATGTTTGCAAGATCGCTTGCTGTTTTAGTCAGTGGTGCAACAAGTTCTCTCTTTTCTTGTGCATGCTCTCTGTATTATAAAATGGAAGTAGTTTGGGGTTTGTTTACCCTAAAAATAGGCAATTAGACGCAACAGGAAGATTATGGAGGGTGTTTTTTGCTTTTTGCCTTTTGCTTCTTGTTTGTTTGAGGTGCTTCATTTTTAAGCTGCAAGCCTAGGTATAATATCAGTGCCAAGCTCTGCTGAAGTGATAGCCAGCCCAACCAGACTATCTCCACTTCCTAAGTAAGATGCATGGCTGATTCCAGGCAGGAGGGTTCTCATTGATTATCATGTGCAAAGTCTAGATAGCAGTTCAGATGGCCTTTTTTTCACAAATACATGAGCAGGCATGGAGTTTCTGGGTTATTTACTATCCAAGTGCTAGTCCTCAATTAAATCAGATAAGCTTCATCTGGTGAACCTAATTGGTATTAAGGACAGAAGTTTATAAGATTTTGAGATGTGGCTGATATGAAAGTCTAAAATGTGCAGTTTGGTACTTGCATTTTCAGAAACAGTTGTTACTGTGCTATTGTTTGGGGTTTTCTATTATTATAAGCCACCTTGAGGGCATCTGCCAGCCTAGTGGTATTTCATTTAATTAATTAATGTAATAGTGGAAAGCTTCAGCTATATAAGTGCTTCAAAAAACTTCACTTTTCCTTGAATTATTGAAACTTTATCAGTAATTGTTAATCTCTCTCTCTCTCTCTCTCTCTCTCTCTCTCTCTCTCTCTCTCTCTCTCTCTCATGCATGCATGCATGCATGCATGCATGCATGCACACACACACACACACACACACACACAAAACCTCCTGGTTTTCTAATATCTTTTTCATGTCTGATGTGATATAATGAATATATTTCTCTCTCTCTCTCCGCTTTCCTTCTAACCCCATCTCTAGGCATTGTTCTTATGATGAACTTGTGTGATAAAGTGGATGTTTATGAGTTTCTCCCTTCCAAAAGGCAAACAGACATTTGTCATTATTACCAGAAGTTCTTTGATCAAGCCTGCACTATGGGTGCCTATCACCCACTGCTCTTTGAGAAAAATATGGTGAAGCACCTTAACCAAGGCACGGATGAAGACATCTACATCTATGGAAAAGTAACTCTAACTGGCTTCAGGAATGTAAAGTGTTAGAAGTATGAATCCTGTATTCTGCGACTGGAAGATCTCCTTGAATCACAAGGCACTTTTAAAATAATTTTTTAAACAACTTTTTACAGGACCTGCCAAAAAGTGGGCAGTTGCTTAGCAATTCTTCCATTCAGTACGCCTTAATTCATGATTGCAAAATACATCAGAAACATGTAGCATCCAATCTAATATGATTGGAGCCATAGAGCACAATAGATAACCTATAATTCAGAACCTGGATTTTCAAAATCCATGGTTACATTCCTAGCCCTTATAGCTGCATTAAAACAACATCAATGCCCTGAATATATATGGGTAGTTTCTGCTTAAAAGCCAGCAGGAGAAGGCACTAGCTAAGGCTTCCAGTATTTAGGGACTGCTTCTACATTCATTCTGTTGTCTCAGCATACTCCAGTCTTCAACCATGCAACACTGACAGCCACGGCTGTGCATATTTTATGATTCTGTAATTAAGTATGGTGTATGCAACAATAGTTAAATTTAGAAGGTGGGGATGAGTAACATGTCTAGTGATTAGGGATCAGGGTTTATTTTCTTGGGTTTTGGGTGCCAAGACCAAATGCATGGTCCAGACAGGCAAGATTAAGGTCTGAGGAAGCAGATCAGGATCCTAAGAGCCAAAGAAAGGTGCATGATGACAGGCAAGCTGTAGGTTGACAATACAAGAGCAAATCAGGAGTGTGACCCTTTTGTTTCTCCTTGATCTCTTGGTGGCTTCTGATAACAGCACCTGGGGTATCCTTCTGGGCAACTGTCTGAGCTCAGAGTGGGTGTGGGGAATGTCCTGAATGGTTCTGGTCTTACTTGGGTGGTCAGCACTAGAAACTGGTGCTTGGTGATACTGCTTAACCCTGTGGATTCTTCAGCCTGAAGTTCTTCAGGATTGAGTTCTATCACCCATGTGATTTAATAGTTCCATGAAACTATTGAGTGGGGTCATCCAGAATTTTGGAGTGCATGGTCCTCTTTACAGGTGATGGCATGCAGTTCAGTTCTAGCACAGTGTAGCTAGATTATATCCAACTCAAGGGATAGCCAGGAGCACAAAATCTCTACTCCTGTTTCCTGAATGTTTTGTTTGATTGTTCTGGCACATTCTCAGGGTGCTTTAGATATATTGGTGTGGTGCTTTTCAGCTTACCTGATCACTGTGAAGTGGCCAATGATGCTGTATTTGTATTTTCTTTCTATTACACAGTTCTTATTGCTCTGCAAGCTCCGAGGGTACCTCTGCTTCCCAACCTGAAAAAGCCCTATGGGAGGAATTATTTCATGATGTTTTCCACAGGGCTTTAATTGAAGTGTTGGAAGCTAAGGAGAGTAGAGGCTGTCAGAGAGACAATTGTACAATGAAAAAGAGGAGACTTGTGCTCATTTCTTAGCTACTACCCAATTTCCTGATTTTTAATAGATATATGTATTACAGAACATGTTTTAAAATACCTTTCGGTGGTTTTCAAGTTACAGTACAGTAACTTAAGCACTAAATACATAAGCATTGCTAAATTATTAATAAAGACATTAAAATCAGGTAAAGTAAAACTATAATTCTAAGTAAATTGATTGGACAACACGTGCACTAGGAAAGGTCTGGGTAAATTGATGTCTAGAGTACAGTATAGTTGGGGCATCCTGAACACAGAGAGGAGATCATTCCATAAGCTGTGTACCACCACAAAGGAGGCTTGCTTCCTGCAACATTGCATGTGCAAGTCATGGTACCACCAGCAAGACCTTCTCCAATGGTTGTGATGATTACATAGGTCTGCATAAGGAAAAGTAAACTTTTCACTAACCTGGTCTCAACTTGTTCAGGGCCATATTGTTATTAGCATTGTATCCAAACAGTAGGGCCTTGCACTTGGTTCAGTAGCTAATAGGTAGCCAGTGCAGTTGCCTTACTACTGGTGTAATATGTGCACAGCCAAGAACTCAGTGTCCTAGCTGCCACATTCTGCACCAGCTGTAGCTTCCAGATCAAGTACAAGAGTACCCCCGGATAAGGTATTGAAGCTTGAGGTTACCAGTGCATAAACTGCAGTGGTCAGTCTATCCCTGTTCAGGAAAGGATGTAGCTGATATATCAGCCTGACTTCATCAATGGTGTTCATCAATACTGAATCAAGTTGGGCCTATAATGTTGACAACAGAACCAGGAGCACCCTGAAACTACTTGTTCTTTCTGAAGGACTGCAACCCAGTCCCATCTAGAACAGGCAAAGTCCCCAATTCCCTGGGAATGGGTCACTGATACAGTCTTCATCTTGCCGTGATTCATTCTCAGTTTGTTGGGCCTCACTCAACCCAACACTGAATCCAGGCAGCAGTTCAGAACATGCACAACCTCTTCTAATCCAAATGTTAGTGCTATAAAGCTGGGTGTCACCAATATACTGATAACACCATGCTGTAAATGCTCCTAGTGGCTCTTGCAGTGAGGCTTGTGGGAATGCTAAAGCGCATAGGGAACAAGATGGTATTCTGTAACTCTCTGCAACATAATTGCTGGGGAGCTGAGGCACAGCCTACCAGTGCTACTTTCCAAAGCTTACCCTGCAAGTAGCAGTAGCACAGACACCCCAATTCATTGAGATAATCCAAAGGAATGCTGTCTGCAGCAGTATCAAAAGCTGCTCAGATACCAGCACAGAATTAGACACCCTCTGTTTCTTGCCTGCAAGATATTATCCATCCAGTGCCCCAAGCTAGCCCTGATTCTGCCTCCAAACTAGGCCAGAAAATGGTGAAATGTGTCAAGATTTTCCATATTCTCCAAGAACATCTGCAGTTACTTGGCATCTGCACAAACACTTTGCCCAAAAAAGGGATTATTGATGACTGGGTGGCACTTCATATAAATCTCTTGCTGCAGGGAGGACCTTTTCAGGAGTGGCTACACCATGAGGCGGTGGACACCAGTCCATCATGCAATGATCCGCTCACCACTCCCTGGATCCACTCAACGGATCACTCCCAACAAGTCTCAGAAGAGCAGGTTGCATTCTTGGCCTCAACTGAAAGTGAGCCAGAGAGTGCACTGGACACCAGACCAGAGACTAGATAACAAGCAGTGTTCCAGCTGGCATGGAGCCAAGTAATTTTATTCTTAGAGTGCTTTGCAAAATAATCACAGCAGACCTTTGAGAGTTCCAGCACAAGATTTGCTCAGGAAGAGAACAACAAGCCCCAAACCACCCAGAAAAGTTGTACTAGATTACAACTTGAGGGTGTGTTGGAGACTGTGCCCTCACTGCCACATGTTAGGCACAATTATGGGCACTCGTGTGTTTGATCTTATGCCGATTACACAGTAGTTGTCTCCCAGCATGTTTCATAGCCTGGCACTCACTGAAGAATAGGAAGCACCTCAGGTTTCACAGTACTAGAGATGGCACAGCATCAGAGTGATCATGTAAGCAGCCCTTTGTTTCTCACTGTTCTTTCGGGCAACTTCAGCCTCAACAGGATCAGCACCTGTTGTTTTTGGACAGTCCCCAACGCATTCAGGAATCAGATTCTGTAAGACATGGCAGATGGACCATCTTAATGCCTTCCAACACACAACTCTGCAGGGGAAAACTTAGTGCTGTAAGCCCAGACTTCACCAGATAGTGGTCTGATCTTTGTAATGGGACAAGTTCAACCCCTGCTCCCCAGTATTCAAACCACCCATCCCTTAATCTCCAGAAGGAAAGACCGAATCCCTGCCCCATGCACTGATAAATTGAGATAGGGCTAAGGTTGTTAGGGAAGCCCTGAAGTTTTGAGCTGGTCCAGTCAAGGCTGCCTTGGCATAAATGTTGAATTCTTCTAGGACCAATGTCCTGGGGTTCCCTAACACTGTGCATCAGACCAGCTCAGTCAGGGAGGTGGTTGTATAGAAGACACAGTGGTACACTAGCAACATCCCCCATCTTTCTTGCTGGCCCAAGCCCTGCTGTAAACTCTTATAGCCTGCTCTGCCCTAGAGGAGTTTCCTGGTGACCAAGATAGTATTTTTTTGTCCAGTGTCTCTTCTGACTGGCCCTCTAACCTGGGTTGATCAAGTCCCAAGTACTGCCTTTTGATGATGTCTACCAGATGAGTTCCCTTATCCACAATCAGATCTTCACTTGAGTTAGTTCTTGTTTTGAACCAGTGTGGCATTATCCCACAAGAAACCAGATCTAATCAATGTCTGGCTTCTTCAATGTGCCAGTGACTCTAACATCCTGATTTCTGCTGGATTGGCTGAGAGCCATGAGATGAGAGCACTTGTGTTCTTGCATCACTGTCCAGGCTCAAGGTTTACATAGCATCTGAATGGGAGGAGAATGAAACAGCCTGAATCATGGACGTCAGCTGAAACCAGGTGGCCAAACTCATCCTCTAGCCAGCTCTTCCCAAGTAAGGCAAGCACAAAACCATCAAGTCCAACCCATGAAAATTTAAGTGGTGTTTTCTTCACCACTGATTTTATTTTTAAAAGAAATTTATTTTCTATCAAATAGAATGAGTAAGGTAAAACATGCAAAAAAAAATTTTTTGGCCTAACCCCACCCACCATTAAACAATAGTTTGAAGAGACAAAAAAAATCATCTAATCCACCCTGTTCCTATGACATCTTTTACATACACATGAAAATACAGAGATAAAAGACATACATTATTTGTATTGTTAAACCATCCTGAGATGGTCTACAAAAGTTTTAAACAAATAAATGAATATTTGTGTATTCACACAGCCAGTCCATCAATGCCATGTCAGTGTCAACAGCTTCAGTACCATAGTTTTCTTTTGGACCTGTGTCAAGATGATATGGGTCAGTCATTCACTGCCCCACGGTTCTGAGGCCACAAAGTCAGTCTTAAGAGAATGGGGGGAAATGTCGGTAGTGCCTCCTAGGTATCACAGGAGAGGGGAGGGGAGTGGATCCCACTGGAACAAATCTAGCTTGGAAAATTTTCCTAACATCAGGTCCTGCATAGATGCAAAGCACCTACTTGTGAATGTACAGATGAGAGCTTGAAGAATGTCCGTTACGCGTGAGCACACTTATTTTGTACAGTGTTCATAGGAACCTCCTTTGTGCAGAAGGAACTAGTGCTTCCAACAGTAATCCTGGAAATGAGTAGAAACACTCACTGCTGGAACAAGGCATGTCAGTGCAGCTCCTTCTGCAAGCTCCACTGACTTGCCCCATTCCAGGAACAAGGTTTCATTCATTTCCATTTGCTCAAGGATCCACTAGCTTCCTCTTGTGTTAGCAGTGGATCCCTCTAACACATGGGTTAGATGCTGCCCGTAGTGCTAGCTAACATAATATGTGGGGGTAAGCTAACCCTAGCTACTTTTGATAGCCCTGTACATGAAACGTCTTAATGACATGATATCCCTGTATATGTTACCAGAAATTAACCCTTGATACATGTGCTAGTGTGTGTGGTGGGGAAGAAAAACATATTTGGAAAAAATGGCATTGTTGGGATTGGCAGTACATGTGGATCCATCTTACAATGTCTGTTAAACTTGAACCTTCAGTACTTGATTATGTGTAGCAATGACTAGGGGTTTTTCTGAATTCAAGTGCAGTTAATAGAGGGGAGTATATACGTTTCTTTTCTCTGAGTAATGTGGCAAAAGGCTTGCCTTTTGCTAATTGCCTATAGAACCAGCTGAGTAAAGTCCTGTCACTGAGTAGAGCTGTTTTTTCTCGTGTTAATCAGGTTAAATTATTATTATTTGCAATTGTGTAGTCAAGATACATTCCTGATTTCATCTGCATGTCTTTGCATGATGTGTCAGTTGAAGCTCTGCCCTGCCTCCTCACCTCTTTTCCTTAGGTCTTTGTGACTGTGTTTTTCCAAGATCATCCCAGCCTCTTCCCTTATCTTTTCAAACCTCTTCTTTTTCAAGGTATTTCCTAATGGACAACTCATTGCACAACTAATTGTATATTACTTGGAGTTGTAAGCAGATTCATTTATAACTCTTTCATGTGTCCGCCACCTTGGAGTGAGCTTTTTCTGTTCCTTTCCTCATGTCCTCATTGCTCCAAGTCTTGCTAGTTCTTCCTTCACATCCTATCACCGTGAAACCTTTTCTTTACAACTCAGACTAGACCCTTTTTCCATACTTTGTAATCTTTCCCTGAAACTACTGGGAAAGGAAAGATTATCTTGCCTTTCCTTTTGCCATGTCTCCCTTCTTCATTTAATTTAGAATGCCTCTATTGCAACCATCTTTGTCTCAGATGTCTTGAGCAAGCCACTCTTCTCCTTAGCCTTTGCTTTGGGTCCCTGTTACTCTTTATCAACTACAAACCTCTGGTTCTTACTTGAAAGCTGCTAACTGCTCTTCCCTAGTTAGCTCTGCCCTCTCATTTTCTCATCTCAGGGATACAAAATGCATAAGAATAGGCACCAGACAATTCACAACATGTCAGGGTTGAAGTGGTTGCATGCATGCATGTTGCATGCACATACATACATGAAACATGGATACTCATAGACAACATTAAAAATGCTCATACATGTTAGAAACATGTGGGGAATCATAGCTGATCACTGCTCCTGCCAAATGTAGCCACTTAAGTGTGGTTGCGTGTGCTCTTAATATATAATCTGAGAAGCAGATCTAAATGCTCTTCGGGCTACACATGACCTCCCTGTCCCCCAGTGAGGCATGCTGTTCCCTTGGCCTGATACCTCCTTGTGTTCCATCAAGCCATATCTGTTCTTCCAGAAAGCTTCTGAATAAATAACCCCTCCCCTGCTGTTTATGGCCACTGGCTAAATCTTGCTTATCACTACTACTATATCATCACTCTCCACCTTGTTCTGTCCATCTAGAGGATCATGTTGGTTGAACTTTTTGTATACCTGGTGGCAGGCATAGGGGACTAAATCACCATTTTGTAGTAGGAGGGCTCTGCTTGGATTCCTTTAAGCAGATCAGTGAATGACTTTTTATGATAAACTGATAGTGGACAAAACAAGACCAACTTGTGTACTGAAAGAATGTGGCATTATGTGGGGCAGGATTAGCTGGGTCTTCCTCACGCTGTACTTCTGAACTGCCCAGTAACTGATATTTTCTGGGTGGTGTGCAGTGTATTAAAAGTGTATCAATATTAAAACAAATGGAAAAGCCCAGAATAAAACAAAGATAAAATCAGCCACAAAGAACAAATCCATGACAACTCATAAAACCAGCAGCACAGTAAAGTCCTCAAAGCACAATGAGCATTCTTGAAATGACTGGGGTAATAAAAAGTCTTTATCAGGTGCCATAAAGACTATAATGTAGGCCCCAGGCAATGTGCTCTGAAAGCATTCCATAAATGGGTGCCACAACTGAAAAGGCCCTCTCTCCTGTAGCCACCCGCTTTGCCTCATTTGGCTGGAATACCTGAGGTAGGACTCCAGGTGCTGATCCAGGTAGGTATAAGGGAAGAAACATATATACTCCTCTATGATAGTAGAAAATACAGTTTTGAATATCTGTAAAATGTGTTTCTCTCATGTATTGTTTGTGTAAAGGTGATGATGTTGTCCCATTATAGTATTGTAAATCTGAACTCCCAAAAACTGAAATCAGGCCAGCTATGAAAATAATACTCTGTTTTTCACTACAGAGTAATAAAAACTAATTTGTTTCCAGGCATGTTTCATTGCCAGTTTTATGTACTTTTTATGTACTTTTATCAAGAAATGTTTGCATTTTTGAACTTGAATTGAAATAAAATTTCAGTGATTTGTCAGCACTGATCTTTAAAATAGATTGAAGTCATTCTGAAGGTTCCAAAGATGTAAAATTTGTAATAAAGATTTTGTAAAGTGGTTATTTCTGTTTTTTATTTACTTAATAAGCATCAGTGTATTTGTTCAAAATACACTGTATATGTACCTTTTCAATTCCATCATTTTGACTGCTTTAGGGAGACAGAAAGTATTAGAGATGGCTTGATCCATTTTTGCATTCTGTGTTTTCCCTGCCAGAAATATCCTATGGCACTCTCATCAGTTACACCAACTGTCAGTCTACTTGATGGAGTTATCTGAGGGATACCTTTGAGTGCATTCAATGAACATGCTTGTTTGCAGTTACCTTCCTTCTGGGAAATCTTGGTACAAATCTGCTCCGCCACATGCCTGGGAGCAGTGGGTGCCAGTGCGGGCTGGACAAGAGTGGGGCTTGTCAATGGTCCCAAGGAATGCCAGGGAGAAGCTGGGAATGGAGGAGGGGGCAGGAATCAGAGCAGGGGACATGGGGTTTTCAGAGCAGTCACCCCATTGGTGATGCCCTGTGTGCAACTCTTGTACAGGGCAACTCCAGAGAGAGGAGCAATGCTTCTACCAGAAAAGCAGTGGAAGAACTGCTCATGAGCAATGTTTGTGTAAACTACGCAACCAAACAGGAGCATCAAAAATGGCTATCTCCAAGGTTAGCTCCAGCATGACACACTTCTCCATGGCCTGTGACTTTTAGAAGCTGCTGGTGACCTTCAGGAAGGCACTGGGAAGGCAGAGGAAAAGGGCAGCATAGAGCAACTAATCCAAGCATGGCTGGAGTTGCTAGGCAGATCTCAGCAGTGGAGGCCACAGGCAGAAGCATCTCCTCCAGCAGAGACCACTGTTTCTATGCTGCAGGATTCACATGATCAAACAAGCCATGAGGTGTGGAAACCATAGAACAGACCATTGTTTCTTTCCATGGTTACATGGAGCCATATTTATGCTGTACCACTCTGGCTAGTTTCACACAACACGGCAAAGCTTGCCATAGTGGTTTCCACCATGGTTTCGTGTTATGCTGAACTCAGCCAGTTAGTGATTTATGCAAGGAGTTTACACAGATGGAGGAGTGGTCTCAAAGAAATTACTCCCCAGCTGAAAAATAAACTGAACAATTCTGCTTCAGCATAAAAATCCATCAGCATAAAAATATTAGACCTGAAAGCTATTTGGTTAGCACCAGAGTCTTGCTGTGATTAGTATATCTTTGACTTCAAAACACAGAAAAACTTGAATCAAATGGGAAAGATACATGCGACTGTTTATTCTTCCTCAATAGAAACTTTTTCCCAAAATGAACATCTTTGCTTGAAGGCTTTTACTACATGAAATGGGAAGAAGCATTATCACAAAGGTCCAGATGGAGCCTGGCCATGTCAATGGATTAATCAGTCATCTTCCTGCCTATTTACCCACACCAAATGTAATGGAAACCATGTCACTGATGTGAGCAAATCTGTAAATACTATACAGCATTTTGCAGAAACACAAATTTGGCCATAGAAGGTTAAGCTAATGTTCTCACAAGTGGGAGCCTGCAGAACATTCTATGAATTAATTCCATGAGTTCAGCACCCCATAAATCCCTATCTTTTTCTAGGTCTCTCCATACCCTTCCCCATGTGTCATTCATTCTCTCTCATGACTATGTCCCCTTCTTCCTCTGTTCCATCAGGTGTCCCACCATTCCCCCTCTACCTTCCTCTATTCTCACCTCTTCCTCCCCATCACCTCCATTTCTTCTTTTCATTTCAGCCAGTGGTGCTGCTAGGGTTGGACCTTGGGGCCAAAGTCCAAGACCCCCTCAGCCCAGTGGGACTCCAACAGACAGGTCACAAATGCTCATTTGTATTGCTTTTTATCTGAGGAAAACCCTGCTACTTTTCTACAATAAAATGATGTTGATTTCCAGCTAAGTGTATTTAACAATGCTGCAGCAGAAGCAAACTCCATTTTTATTCCTGTAGCCATGATGGTGCTGTGATATAAAGGAGTTTAAAATGTGGAGCTGCACATGTTTAAGAGTATTACTTCATGCGGCCACGAGCTTTTTTGTTTTGTTTTACTGATGTGACAGGAACATTGAAATAGCTGTAAAGCATGGGATAGTACTTGGGGGTTGGGAGAGAGAAATGTTAATTCTGTGTTTCATATGCAGTGATACACAGAGAGATATAACGATAAGAGGTGCAAGGAAAGGGCACTCCGTCCAAGGTCTAATATTATCCAGCTTCACCCCCGATTTCAGATGTTATTGCTATTCCTTTAACCTTTTCAGCTTCCTGCTTGCGGTCGCGTCTTCTTCCACGAAGTTGTTCATTTGCTTTCCATCCCCATTTCTCTTTGGTTGTCCTCTAACCTTTCCTAACCTGTCTCTGCTCCAGTCCCCTCCATCTCATGCCTCTTTATTCATCTCATTTCCCCTCTGTCTTCATTCCTTCTGCTTCCCCCAGGCCCTCAACCGGGACCCTGCACAGTGATGTTTAGAAGTTGTGTCCATGCAAGTGCTGGTTCCTGTGAATATTTATGACACTGGATGGTAGTGGTATGGATGTGTGTGTGTGTGTGTGTGTGTGTGTGTGTTTTGAAACTAGATATTTGGGCAGAATTGTACTTCCACAGATCTCAGGGTTCAACCAAATCTGCTGATACCCTTTTTGGTTTGTGCATGGCACTACTTTGATTACACAAGCAGTCACACACACACCATACGAAGAAGCTAAATAAAGGGAATACTATGGGCTCCATTATATTAACGTGTGGTGAGCTTTTTTTTAAAGGTATAAAGGTGTGCCTTTGCTTGCTTAAGGATTTGAAAATGAGAGAATTCCTGAAAAATATTAGCTGTAACAAATGGAATCTTCACGACTAGAAGCAATGTACATCTAAATGTTGGAAGTGAACAATTCATTTGACAATAGCATTTGTAAGTAACCATCCTATGGAACATGATAGAATGGAACTTTTTTATTTTAAGAGATAAAAATGAAGAGCCTTGACCAGGAAGGAGAAGAATTGAATTAAAAGTCCTTGCTGTTAATGATGATTTGCTCAGGCTTAGGTAAAATATCCCTTTCAATGAAACTTGCTGAGAAAGCAAGAGCTTGCACATGGAATTATTTAGAGTCACCATAAACAAAATGAACTGGAAACTTAATTTGCTCACTATCACATTTTCAGACTGCCCAGAGGAAAAAAAAACCCAACAACTTATAGCATATCCATTTTTCTTTCCTCTGAGAAGTGAAATCTCTGTGGATCTAATTAGCTGGTTAGCTTAACAAGCAGAAGCTTCTTGGAAAATGCTGTCTTGTTGACATACTGCTTCGGATATCATCAGTTGATACGATGCCCTGCATCATAGGTGCATAGATTTGGTTTTGTGATGCTGGCACTTGCCTTGGGGGACTTTCTCACAAAAGAACCTAGGCTGGGACAACTGCTTTCTTTAACTTAAGTTGTAACTGCTTTTATTACTACTATATGCACTCTCAAAACTGCAGCTGTTCAGTGAACTGAAGGGCCCTGCACATACTGTACAATTAATGTATCTTCAGGAGTAGAGGGGGGGGGGAGGGAAAAATGGAGAGGAGTGAGGGCAAAGGAGCTCTTTGCTCTGGTCCTGTAAGTCAGTGTGATTTAGCTAACAGGATACTGGGAGGGTGTCCAATTGGATCATGAAGAACATCATATAGACTCCTGTGCCTACTCTCACATCTGTGTCTCCAAGCAGCTTTTAAACCTCTTGGTTCAGATTTGAGCCCAGTTCCGTATGAACTCTGACCTAGTGGTTCATTGTTCACCTGAGTAGGCATCATGTACCAGCTGCTAAATATTCATATTATCAGTCCAACATAACTATTGTGTATAGATTAGCTGAGGTTTAGCATCATCAGCATTCAGGGGTATAATCTAAACTTGCTCTTCTCCACAATTGACAGGTTTTCCTTCAGTTTTCACAAGCGTGGCAAATCCAGTACAATCTGTCCATGCTCTGCTCATGAACTGATATGTTGCAGCTTCAGGGAAGACGGATAATATTCACCCTCAATCCATTTAATCATTTTCAAATATTGCCTCCACAAGAGAGCGACAAATTGTATCACACTAGCAACTACATCAGAATGTAATCATGTAAAATTCCATGAACTAGAGAATGCCACTACCATAAGGTGAAATATCTTTGTTTAATAGCTAGAAATTTAATAGCTAACCTTAAAGGGGAAGGTTAGCAATTTTTCTGCAAGAGGGGTGAAAAGAAGGAATCCAGGGCTAGTAGCTCCAGCAATTCCTGGTACAGAAACCAGTGCACATTAACCAGTCTCCTGCAGAGGCCCAGTTCAGTCAGTGTAGACTATGGACCTTGATCTGAACCCAGAATTTGCTCAGCTTTTCCACATTCAAACCCTGACAACCTCCATGCCTAGACAGCCACCCTAATGCTGTCTCAACAGCACTGAAAAAGAAAAAAGATCTTGGAGTTCTTTTAGGGAACAATCTAAACATGAGCCAGCAATGTGATGCAGCCAACCTTCCAAGGTCTGGAAACTAAGCCCTACAATGACAGCTTGAAATAGCTGAGCATGTTTAATCTATGACCTCTTCTTACTCATCCCTGAGTGTAGAACATGGAACAATGAAGATAAACTGCACCACACCAGATCCGGGCTAGACACCAGGAAAAACTTCCTGGATGTCAGAGCAATATAACAGTGAAACCAGTTGCCCAGATGAGAGATATTCAAGGTGAAACTGGACTGTCACCTGAGTGGGATGGTGTGTCTTGACATCCTGCATCGGCAGGAGGTTGGATCTGGTGGTCTTCTTGACCCCTTCTGACCCTACTATTCTATAAATCTATGAAAGTCTATGCGACGCCCAAAGAAACTAGTCCATGAGTTCCTAGGATCATATGGAGAGTTGTGCTGGACAGAACAAAGCAGAACACATACCTTGGATGCAGAAGGTCTCAGGTTTGATCCTTGCCCTTCCCTGCCCTGAAAGCAATTCCAAGAAGGAGAAAGATGGGGAAAATTCTCATAGGTTG